TTGAATTTAAGTGGTTACGATATGTTTTTAAGGGATTATTTGTTAAAGTTGAAAAAATTTATAATTTTTATTGTTCTATCTTACTAATATTATAAATGCGAATGTTTAGATGGATGTTTGTTTGAAGGTATCTCCAGAACGGCTTAACGAATCTTGATGAAATTGATGAACACATAGGCTACTTAGGATTTATTTATTATTGTAAGTTGGTGTAAGTATAGAACATATGTAGTCGTTTTTTTATTCTTTTGCCCAGACGAAGTTTCGGACAAAAGCTAGTAGCATTTATAACATAACAGTTATAAATAGCAGTTATTCAATAACTGCTATATAATTCACATCACTAGTTACACGAGTCGAGCCCCTCTTCCCAACTGTCAACAATAATAATGTTAAGGTGTAAAACTTCCCGCAAATACAAGTTAGCTTATTCGTTAGAATTATAATACCTACCTTAATATCTATGTGTTACCGTCAAATTGAATAAATCGGGCAATATGAAAAATTACTAACCAGTTTAGTAATTTTTAAATTTTCGTATAGCGTTTAAATTAATCTTTAACTAGGAAATCATGGCACGTAGTAGAGCAGCTGGTTGCTCAGCAAATAAAACGCCGCAAATGGTCTTGGATCGGCCACACGCTTCTTCTTAGTCATATAAAAAGGCTCTGGAGTTGATCCCGCTAGGAACAAGAAGACGTGGCTAAACAAACTTGACAGCGCTCGCGACATGTAGACAATCGGGCTGACATGACCCGAGACCAAACGCAGAGCGTAAGATAGAGCGAACGGGCGACGCATTGTTAACGACCTCTGCCCCACTACGGGTCTTATAACTTTAAGGTAGGTCATTCAGTCTTAAAAGAATAAAGCATAATTAAAAAAATTACTTATATCTTACTAATATTATAAATGCGAATGTTTAGATGGATGTTTGTTAGAAGGTATCTCCAGAAGGACTCCATGGATCTCGCTATTTGTTACACTTAGGCTACTAATAAAGTTTTTGTTCATTCCGCGCAATGGTTTTGCGGACGACAGGTAGTTAAAATAAATTTAATTTATCTCCAGTGTAACCGCTCCTTTATACGCTTTATCGTATCAAGTCACATGAAAGCTGTGTCATCAGTTACTCTGTGGTCACGCCCACTTTAAAAGCATATTCATTAGATGCTACAAACTTACACTGAACACTGAACTTTATATAGTGATTTTATATTAAACGATACGTCACCGATCAATAGTGAATTAGGTCGATTTACATTTTATCAGATTTTTTAACTCATGATTAATATTATAGTAGTAAAATTGTTTACTATTATATTTTAGGTCCAGAAAAAGTTGTTGATTTGTATTTTTTTATATTATAATATGGCAAACGAGCAAGCTACCTGTACTCGCCGAAATGGCAAAGGAACCGCTGCCTTTAATCGACAGAGAAGGAGACACAGGTAGAGTATATTTCCCATTTATGTGTCTTCTCCTCCATCAAATCCACTTCCATTTCCCATCCTTTTCTTATTAAAAATAGGAAAAGAAAGAGAATTAAAATTAGACCTCGGGGACGCACTCATCAGAGTGTAGTTGGAATTGCTTCCACTTGACGACTGTCCTCTGTGTGGTCGTGGTATTGCAGCAATCGAGCCGATACATTCGCGCAACAGATGATGTTGGATCCCTAAAGGGGTAGGCAAAAACTTCCATTTAACACGAATCCCAAATTTCAGACACATTTAGGCATCTATTTAAAAATGGAATTGAAAAAATAATACGTACAAGAAAAAAAATTATCTCTATTTTTCTCTAAGAGTGAATAGCGATAGAGTTGTAATACATGTGTTACGACAATGTAAACTCAACATATAAATCTATTCGAAAAGATTCTTTTCATAACAGTGTTACGACGCGCTATTTATTCATAGGTCAGATAAGGGTGTTACTACACTAGATATGTTAATTTATAAAAAACACTAAAATAAATTAAGACGTATAAAAATACTTTTGTATTCATCACCAATCGTGGTCCGCTTGTAATTTGCTCACGCTAAAGCATTTCTAAAAAACGCATTCGTTCAAAACGCTTATCGTCAGCTCACTATAAGTCCCCATTGAGGGTCTCAAAGCCTACCCTAAGTTATGTGACTAGGTCATAGTCAATACTTTGACTTTCACAGATATGTGCAGCATCACGATGTTTGCCTTCACACAAACAACATAGGATAAATATACATATGTAAATGTAAAAATAAATTGGTACAATCCAGGATTCGAACCCAGGACCTGCTGACAAGTCAAGTGCTTAACCCCTGATCCACCGACGTTCAAAACTGCAAAACGCGACGTGTGATAACTAAGGTCACATTTATTAGAAAATTAATCAGTGTATCAGCACCTTTATTGTAAAAAAGTTGTGTACACACTAGCGCGAACAAACAGCCAAGCGCCTTTGTCTTAAACTGTAAAGAATTACAAAAACATTGCCTCGCCCCAAGCGAATTTTCTTACAACAGTTGTTGTATATTTTTAAAAACAAAAAGTTTTAACTCTAGTGTGCTATATATACGAGCTGTACCCTCTTCTTAACTGCTGCGTGCTTCCATTTGACATCTGTCTTCTGTGTGGTCATGGTATAGCACTGGATGGTAGGGTAAAAGATGTTGATGTCTACCAATGTTAATGTTAGATTTAATTTTCAATGAAACAGTGGTTTAGGGGAGAAACACTTCACTTGTATTGCATGTCCTGAGTTCGTATCCTACTTACCAATGTATTTTTCGATTTACATTTGTACATTTCTGTTCTTATCGTGACAAAGATATGTGTGAAGTGACGCACTGGACCAGCATTCACTATGACTTAAACACATAATAGGGTAGGTAACCTCAGTGTGAACGTATTAGCTGATGGTAGAGATTAACTGCATAAGTTTAAATGCATTAACAGGTGCTTATAGTACTATTACTCTCAGATTAAGGCTTTCACGTGGTTTAAAGCAACGATGCGTTGGACCGGCGAGTGATCAAAGGCCATTACAGCCTGAAAATGTTACGAGTGAGTTTCCACCCCCTTTGACGTGTAGGGATGAATGCTTACTTAATATACTGTGTAAATTATACATGAGCATGAAATATACGGATATTACTATAGTGTATCTATTTAAAATATATATAAAAGAAAGTGGTGTTAGTTACACTATTTATAACTCAAGAACGGCTTTACCGATATGACTGAAAATTGTTGAGGAGGTAGCTTAGAGCCAGGAGACCGACATAGGATACTATTTATTCATTTTTATTTCGAATTTATGCCTTGAAGAGTAGCTTTTTATTTAACTTACTAATGTTATAAATGCAAATGTTAGATGTGAATATATCTCTAGAACGGCTGAACAGATCTCGATTACATTTGGCATACGTATAGAACATAGTTTGAAAGAACACATACGCTACACTAAATAAGTTTTTTATATATCCACGCGGATGGAGTCGCGGGCGACAGCTAGTTTTATATTAAGATTAATGTCGTATTTAATGGAAGATCCAAGCTAAGCTCTAGACTTGTGCTAGGACATGGTTTACAATAGTCGTATGTCGGGATTCGAACCCCCGACCTCCTGATCGTAAACCCGTACCCTTAACTAGGCTATTGACGCTTCTAAATTGTCAAACTAATCTATCTTAAATAGACACACTGTAACCCACCCTCTATGTCATAAAAGTGACAAGATTCCTTGTTATGTTTTTAGACAGAGAACTTTTTTTTTCTAATTTTAAATAGCACTATTCAATAGGGGGTTACTAATGAATGTCCATGAAATTTGTGTCTATCTACCCGTATGTCTGTCTCCATCTCCAGGCCGTTTGAGCAGAGTAATTTCCAGTATGGTTTTTTAAATACTGCGCTGACGAAGTCGCGGGCAATCGCTAGTTCTAAGTAAAACTTTCGCATCCCCACTTTAGACCTTTATAGGATGGGACATATTCTGACGAAGGATATAATCTTAATATTTTCTTGGAGTAAAAAAAAAGGATTTTTAAAATAATCGTACGTAAAACAAGCAAAAACATTATAGACTCGTTGTCCTTTGTGAGAAAAGAGGCACTCAAGCGAAAGAACGATCAAAGAGTTTTAATGCTTGTCTATACTCGATTGACGGTGTAAGCCGATTAGTCTATGGTCATCCCTGACCAATGATTAGGCGCGCTCGCCGCGTTCTTTATTTAAAATTATGACGTTAAAACGCTCAGTTGAGCTACGCCCTTCATCCGTGTAGGACGTCTTTTGATCATGCGGCTGGAATTTTTCGCTCTACAAAATATAGTTGTTTATACAAAAATATACAGGAGGGTGGCTAATGAGGGTTGAATTCCGACCTATTTGTTTTTTGGGACAATGATTTTCTAGATGACCACCCATATATTTTTAACATATATGAATGAACAAAGAAAGTAGGAAAAAGGTTTTATATTTAAAAACAATGTTTTTCTTTTATACTTATTAAGTTATAGACACATTTAACAGTGGTAGAGCGAGCTTTAACATCTTCGCACGAATAGTCCCGGCTCGCCCGGTGAAATACCACGACCATACAGAAGACGTGCAGTCTGATGAGTGTGCGTCCCGGAGGACTTATTTAGTCCTCTTTCCCTTCCCACCCTTTTTCTTATAAAGAAAGGATGAGAAGTGGAAGTGGACTTTCCGGATGAGAGGATGCATGGAAAGGGAAAAAGCGAGCCGGATAATTCCTGCGAAGATGTTGAAGCTACCACTGTTTAATGTTTTAATTATTTTTATTGCATAAAAAAGAAATCTTATATATATATTATTTTCGTGTCACAGTGTTAGTCACACCGAAACTGCTTGACAGATTTTTATTATATTTTAAATGCAAATTCTTGTATAATCTTTATATGCATAGATTAAAAAAACAATATTAATAGTCATAAATATAGTTATATTTAATTAAATAATCAAGCCTACTATATATTATATCCGTGAGATATAAAGAGGAAAGATTTGTATGTCTGTAATGCAAAGTAACTCAAAAACTACTAGACATATATCAAAAACTATTTTTGGAATTAGATAGCGGACAAAAGGTAGTGTTTGATAAATTAACATGTCAAACTGTCAAAGTGTTAAACTGTCAAACTGTCAAGATTAAAGAAATTACAAAAAATTGACAACTGATCGCTGCAAGCTGAAGTCCAGCGGGTGTAGAAAAACTGCATTCGCTCCGAAGCAATTACATTACGTACTTCAAAAATGTATAGAACTGTCAATATCTTTAGTAGTCACGTGATTGTCGCGCCTCAGATCATTATCAAGCCCTGCAGTTCTATATATTTATGAAGTTCATTATATATTCGCTTGTCTACATGGATGAATATATGACATCAATTGTCAACTTATTACAATCTTGACAGTTCCACTGTCAAAATTTATACATATCCAAGATAATTACTACTCCTGCCTGTACACTCTCCGCAAAGCGTGCTCATATACGAATGAGGTACAAGGATGACAGTTTCTGAATATCTGACATAAACTGTCACGCCGGTGACAAGTGATGTCACCTTGACTCCATCACCTATAGTGCGTACCCTGAAATACAAATTGTCAATTTTAAAAAACACGTCGATGCTCTCGCTCGAGAGGTACAACACTAGCACCCAACCAACACCCTACAACTGACTCTTATGTATGTAACGAATAAACTCAAAAACTACTTAAGCGATTTCAATATTCTTTTACTATTAAAAAGCTTATAATTAGATTCTTTTATTGCCACTGATCAGGGCAATAGTTCAAATAGTCATCTTCCCTTTTCCCCCCATCTTATCTTACTAATATTATAGTGAATGTTTAGATGGATGTTTGTTAGAAGGTATCTCCGGAACGGCTGCATGGATCTCGTTGAAATTTGGCATAGATGTAGAACATAGTATGGAAGAATACAAAGTCTATGTTAAAACAATTACCTAAAATTAGGTTCGTCTGTTGATATATTTACAGAACCACCTCGGACAGTGATGCTGTTCAATCCAGTGTATACTTTGACACCACCATTTTGGTCTCGAAGGATGGCAAAGCTGAAAGAAAAAGCAATTATGATACTATAGAATAAACATCATAGAGCGTCGGTGGCTCAGGGGTCAAGCACTTGACTTGCAATCTGCAGGTCATGGGTTCGAATCCGGACTAAACCAATGTGTTTTTCGATTTCCGATTTACATATGTACATTTATCCTATGTTCTTACGGCGAAGGAAAACATCGTGATGCTGCACATATCTGAGAAAAAAACATATGTGTGAAGTCAACCCGCACTTGGCCAGCGTGGTTGACTATAGCCTAATTACCCTTAACTTAGGGTTCGCTCCGAGACCCTCAGTGGGGACGTATAGTGAGCTGATGATGATGATGATGAGAATAAAAATACAAGAGACTACGCCACAGACTATCAGATCAAATGTAGAAATTAGATATTGCAAAGCAAGCAAAAAGTCGATTTAAGTCTTAATATTTTACTTAGCACAATTTTTTGTTTCTGTTCTATAATTTGGATAGTATTTTTCACATTTAAACTAAGAATCTTACTAATTCCTCTAAAATTATAATTGCAAATGTTTAGATGGATGTTTATTAGAAGGTATCTCCAGAACGACTGCATAGATCTCGCTGAACTTGTCATAGATGTAGACCATAGTCTGGTAGGAACACGTAGGCTACTAACTTTTTTTAAATCTAAATAAATAAATACCTAGAGAAATCCGAACAATCCGCCAAAGCTATGGCGTCAGTCTGAACTGGTAACAGCTGTTCTGTGGTGCCATAGAGAGTTTCAACCGTAGACTCTTGTAGACGACATTCACCTGGGAAAAGAAGAAATTTGAAAATTCCGACGAGACGCTTTAATAGCGTTTGGATTTATGGATAGATGTTTGCTAGAAGTTACCTCCAAAACGGCTGCATGGATCTTGATGTAATTTGTCATAGATGTAGAACATAGTCTGGGGAAGAAGACGTAAAAAAGTTTTTATGCTACGCGGACGGAATCTCAGGCAACAGCTAGTATTATAAATGCGAAAGTTTGGATCGACGTGTGTTTAAAGATATCTCTAGAACGGCAGTGTGGATCTTGATTAAATATGTCATAGATGTAGAACATAGTCTGGAAGAAGGCATAGGCTACTTACGGTACAATCCATACTTCGTCATGACCTGCATTGTAGTAAAGCTGTCAAGTAACCACTCCAAATTGTCAGATCTGAACTTAACCTCACTTCCAGTCTTACTCTTAACATGGATCATACCATTCTTCTCCTAGAATAGGCAAGATTTCATATATAATTCCAATGATAATTATTTGAAGTCACAGTGGACCACATTACATCCTTTAAAAACCACATGAATTCACCAAAATAGCAAACTGACGCAAATAAAAAGAGTACTCGTTGTACGCACAGAAATAGCATTTGCCCCTTCTTGTGTCACGCCCTCTACAAATCCACCTTCCCTCTTCTCCTTACCTCATCTCTTGCTCTTAAGAAAAGGATCGGAAGAGAAATAGGAATAGAATGTATCCTCCAATACGCACACTCATCAGAGTGTAGTAGAAATATGTCGTCACTTGAGTCGTGTGTCGTGTGGTGGTGGTATTGCAGCTGACGAGCCACACATATCATAAGGTGGCAAACGAGCGAGCCACCTGAAATCGCTAAAATAGCGATGTGACCGTTGCCCATAGACATACGCAATTGCATATGCGTTGCCTACCTTTAATCGACAAAGGAGACACACAGAAAGAAAATATTTTCCCTTTCCAAGCATTCTTTCATCCGGAAAGTCTACTTCCACTTCCCATCGTTTCCTTATAAAAAAAGTGTGGGAAGGGAAAGAGGACAAAATTAGGCCTCCGGGACGCACACTCATCAGACAGTAGTTGGAATTGCTTCCACTGGAGGCGTATCTTCTGAGTGGTCGTGGTATTTCACCGGGCGAGCCGGGACAATTCGTGCGAAGATATTAAAGTGAGCTCTACCACTGTTAAAACTCACAGTGCAACACACAATGTTGTTGTTGGCTTGTATTACTGTTATATAAGTATTCTATCTAATTGCATTGCGTCTAATTTTGCATTGAAATGGGTACTTAATAAACATTCTAGACTGTATTTATTTCTACTACATTCGAGTTATTTTTTTTTTATTTTAAACAGAAGAGAATGTTACCTTCATCTCAGCTTCAGCATTTACTGAATCCTTATTATAGCTGCCACTGAACAGATCCTTTGCAGTCTCTAAGACCCTTTTGGGTAACACGTGACGCACCAAATCAATACCTTGTTTCTGAAAATAATTACATCTTAATAATATTATATGTACGAATGTTTAGATGGATGTTTGTTTGAAAGTATCTCCAGAACGCATCAACAGATCACGATGAAATTTGGCATACAAATAGAACATAGTCTAGAAGAACACATAGGCTACTAATTAAGTTTTTTATCACCGTGCGGACGGAGTCGCGGGCGGCAGCTAATAATATTATAAATGCGAATGTTTAGATGGATGAATGTATGTTTGCTTGAAGGTATCTCCAGAACGGCTTCATGGATTTCGCTGTAATTTGGCATAGATGTAGAACATAGTCTGGAAGAATACTTAGGCTACTATTAAGCTTTTTTAATTCCGCGCGGCTGGATTCACGGGCGGCCGATAGTTTAATTATAAATATGAACTTACCCCTTCTATTTGAAAATCAACATGCCTCTCCAACACTCCAGATGTATTCCTTGGAGTACCCTTGTACCTTATCTTCAGTTTATTCTCTGCGTTTTCGTAACAAGTCCTGTATTCTTTGGAGAAATCCAATAACAATATTATCTGGCCTAAATATGACGATGGATAGGAATATAGGTCTTGATCTGCTGCTGTTTGAGTTGATACTTCTTGGAGATAGCATAGCTGAAAAAAATTGTACAGTAACATACTTAACTCTACGTTCCCATTGAGGGTCTTTGAGTCTACCCTAAGTGTGACTATGTCATAGTGAATGCTGGTCCAGTGCGTCACTTCACACATATCTTTGTCACGATAAGAACAGAAATGTACATATGTAAATCAAAAAAATACATTGGTAAGTAGGATTCGAGCTCAGGACCTGCACAATACAAGTGAAGTGTTTCGCCCCTGAACCACCGTTTCATTGAATTTTCATAATCTAATATTAACAGTGGTAGACGTCCATGACCACACAGAAGACAGACGTGAAATGGAAGCAGCACAGATATGTGCAGCATCACCATCTTTTCCTTCAATATTACATACATACACGCGAAATACATTATCCTCTTGAGGCAGTCATCTTATTAATATTATAAATGCGAATGTTTAGATGGATTTTTTAAGAAGGTATCTCCAGAACAGCTGCACAGATCTTGTTGAAATTTGGCATAGATGTAGAACATCTGGAAGAACACATAGGCTAGTAATTAAGAAGTTAGTCACGCTTAGAAGTTTCTCCAAGTGAAATATCTTCACGGCTGTCACCTAGAGGGGTAGACACTCACCCTGACATATCTGTCACTGATATTATGGAATGTATCAGGTAATTTCCCTCTGACTGCCACTTCAGCTGTCAGGTTGCCGTCCTGACTGCTAATACTAGTCTCTGAGTACACCTTAATTACAGGCTCCTCACGATTCTGGTTCAAACTGGAATAATATTAGTAAGTTAAGTTGTTTATATATCACAAGGTAGCAAATGAGCGACCAGTCATCTGAAATCTTTTAAATAGCAATCGATTCCCCATAGACATAGGCAATTACCTTGCCTACCAGAAAGATAATATTTTCCTTCCCATACATCCTTTCATCCGAAAAATCCACTTCCACTTCCCATCCTTTACTTATAAGAAAAGGGGTGGGAAGGGAAAGAGGACTAAAATTAGGCCTCCGATACCACACTCATCAGACTGTAGCTGGAATTGCTTCCACTTGACGCCTGTCTTCTGAGTGGTCGTGGTTTCTTCTACCCGCCTAAGAGATGTTTAAGTAGGCTCTAACAATATAATAAGTATTAAAAGAATTACTAATTAAGAAAAAGAATATCTTACATGTAAAAACTAATCGCAAAATTGAAATCCACGTCGATTTTATCTTCTTCAGACAAGAAGTTCCATCTGTTAACACCAAGTTCCAATGTCACCTTTCCTTCTCCGTAGTTTTTGAGACTGGAGACGAAGATGGTGGCACCACATGTGCCTGATGGTGGGAAATTGAGAAGGAGAATGCTCTCTAATGCGATATGAGAAGACTTGAGTGGAGTTAGTAGGCTGAAACAGAAATAACAGTCTTATTGGTTAGAGAGAATTATTGGTAAATCGTCAGTGGCTTAAGGGTTAAAGCAACTGACTTGCGGGCGACAGCTAGGATTAATATAAATTTTTCTCAAAGACCAAAAAGTACTTACTCGAAGACGTGCGTCATCAATTTGTCAGTGGTCTCTGCGCCGGACAGCGGTCGGCCATCACTGATTCCGTCTATATGCTCTCTCTGGAAGGAACACAGGTTTTAACTTCCTTATTCACTTCTATTCCTGACTGTTGTCCTTTAAAGTATATATCTTAATACTATAAACAATCTATCTATTGCCAATAAGTTAGTTTAATAAAAAGTTAACTTCATGTTTCAAAGAATTACGTGATAGTTTGAATTTTAATAACATCAATAATTAAACGTCAATTTCATAGGAAATACTGCAACCGTGAGTTGACTTGTAATCTGCAAATCCTGAGTTCGAATCTTGCCATGTACCAATGTGTCTTTTGATTTTCGATTTGCATATGTACGTATCCGACGTTCTTACGGTGAAGGAAAACATCGTGATGGTGCACATATCAGAGGAAGTCAAAGATATGTGTGAAGTGATGCACTGGACCAGCATTCACTATCACCTAGTCACATCACTTAGGGTAGACTCCGAGACCCTCAGTGGGGAACTATACTGCTGATGAATGTCTTTTCCAATCATGCTATGAAATACCCAGATTCCAGATTTACCTCGCAAGTATCTTTCCCGGTGATGACAATATTTTCAAAGCTACCATCGATGGTGACCATATTGACCATGACACGAGAATGGAGAGCAAGTCCAGCGCGCTGTGTGAACGGGAACAACAGAGTTAATCTGGAAGAAGAAATAGAATTAGACCAGTACCTTCCTCATATATAATCATCATCCTGCCTTTCCTTAATTGTGTCTGCACATCATTCTTCCATACATCTCTATCATTATATCTGAATTCACGTCCTTCTAACGCATAACTATCATAATATTCAGCCATAGTTTCTTCAGTCATTCTCTACCTTTGTCATCAACATTCAATCTTATTACTTCTTCTTTCTTCTTTGCTTCTCAATTTCTCCAGTCTTCCTGTACCTTTGAATCTGTCCTAGCTGGTATTAACCAAGTAGACTTACTCAATCTTCTTCACGTTCAAGGGATGGGAGACGTTGAACTTCATCGGCAGGAGTGCAACTATAGACTGTTGGATCCTGGTCGTGTGCTCCGAAAGAAGGATCGGTCCATCCGTGCATAGTGATGTTACAGCGGTACCTTGGTACCTGAAATTAAATCAATAAGTAAACACCCTTAGTTTTCATCATCATTCAGCTTACTAGAAGTACCCACCGAGAGGCTCGGAGCCTATCCTAAGTTATGGGTGACTAGGCCTTAGTCAACTACGTTGACCAAGTGCAGGTTGACTTCACACATATCTTTGAATTTCTTCTCAGATATGTGCAGCATCACGATGTTTTCCTTCACCGTAAGAAACCGTAAATCGGAAATCGAAAAACACGTTGGTACATGACGGGATTCGAACCCAGGACCTGCATATTGCAAGTCAAGTGCTTGACCCCTGAGCCACCGACGCTCTAGTTTTAATTAAATAAAATTGTTATTACAGTCTTTAGTAGCAATATTAATAAAGCGCAGTTTAGAAGACATAAATATATTTATTACGTGATTTGCAGGTCATTGTCCCAGGTGAGTCCTTGCGTCTCTGGGTGTGCAGTAAGATTGCCTCGTACTGATGAAAACCCTACAATTGTCCTCTGAAGCCTTACAGGGGTACCTGGAATATAACATATTGATGAATGGTCAGATCAAGTTAAGCTACGCGACTCGTAGTACTCTTCAACCACCGTATACGCCTCGCTCCAGAAAAAAATTACGCTAAGCAACAATTCATGCAATGTCCTAATACCTAAGAGGTCATATATTAAGGAACAAGCGGTAGGAACAATAAGATGAAGCCTTCAAAATTTGACGGCGCTCAGTAGTAGTTGAAGTAAAGACAATCGGGCTGACATGACCCACTGGGGCCCTCTGTACCACTACGGGGACGAGTCAAGTAAATGTATTTACTTACCCAACTCACTGGCTATGTTCCAATCCATTTGGAAAGGATAGTAGACTAACTGTTGATTGATATGGCTACCGAACTTTAGGAAATCATCGATGAATTTGAATACTGTAAGAAATAGGTACACATTATTATGTTAATATTAAAGACCTCTTTCTAAGGTATTCCGTAAAACCAGGTGAACATTTCTTTTAACATGTGAACCCTTAACTTTATTTATTCGCGTTGTCAACTCCGCCGTCTGCTGTGGACCTCAAGGGATCTCCCACGACCACTGAAGTTATCACTGTTCTAGATTAGAGATAATACTAGCTGTCGCCCGCGACTCCGTCCGCGATTAACATTAGGTAATAGTCATTTTTCAGAGCTACTGAATATGCTTATAAGATTTTATAAAAATCGGTCAAGCCGTTTCGGAGGAATATAGTAACTCGCATTGGATCACGATAATTTTATATAAGACTAGCTGTCGCCCGTGATTAAGACCGCGCGAAATTAAAAAGAAACTTATTAAGTCGCCTATCCTATAGTAGTATAATATATCCTGTTCGACATCTATGCCAAATTTCAGCTAGATCTGTTGAGCCATTCTGGTTTTTTTTTATAACAGAAGGAGGCAAACGAGCAGCGGGAACACCGAAGTGTTCAACGACGCCCATGGACATCAGCAATACCAGAGAAACCACAGATGCATTGCCGGCCTTTAATGGTGATACCATCAAACAAACATCCATCTAAATATTCGCATTTATAATATTAGTAAGACAATGAAGAATTACTTTTATCGTTGTACGTCTCCTCTAAATCCGATTGGTTGATATGCATCGCAAATACCGTTTTGTCTCCGATTTTCACAACTATATCTATATGAACCTGGAAAGAAGAAATACAAATAATGCAGCATGTATTGAGAATTTTTTTTATATCATAAGGTGACAAACGAGCGAGCGGCCACCTGAAATCGATGAAATAGCGAAGTGACCGTTGCCCATAGACATATGCAATTGCATATGCGTTGCCTACCTTTAATCCACGGAGGAGAGGATGCACAGAAATTAAATATTTTCCCTTTCCATGCATCCTCTCATCCGGAAAGTCCATTTCCCATCCTTTCCTTATAGGCAAAGGGTGGGAAGGGAAGAGAATAAATTCAAAGTTATGTGTGAAGTCAACCCGCCAACTTGACCAATGTGGTTGACTATGACCTAGTCACATAACTTAGGGTAGGCTCCGAGCCCCTCAGTGGGGACATACAGTGAGCTGATGATGACGAGACAGTATTAGAATCATTCGGTGCGAATGGCACGCTTCCGTTACCAAGTCAAGTTTCAGCGGTGGTAGACAAAGTGCAAATGAATCCTTAAAAAAAACTTCAAAAATGTATAGAACTGAAACACTTTCATTAATTGACGTTTGAAGTTCGTTATGAAATCGCTGTACAGCGAATGCACTTTGTCTAGACCCTCTGATCGATTAGTGAAGGAACATACACGTTGATATTTTAAGGCTAATGTTGCACCGACACACTAACACTTTGTCAGATTTTCCTCTTAGGCTTTGCTTAGACTTATCTCGGAATTTGAATTTATAATCGTTATTAACATACCGGCTCTGGAGTTCTTAATTTCCATGCACTTAACTTCTCCAACATAGAGATCAAAGTACCCTGGCTCATGTTTCTTGATTGCAGTAGTTTCTTTAACACCACCCAAGGAAGTCCTTCACCAACGAAATAAATCTGTAAAAAACATATATTATTAAATAAAAAAAAGCCTGTTTATAAGTTTGTCTATCTGCTGTAAATTAATATTGAGATTATTGTGTACAGGAGACCAAATGATTATGTTCTTCTTCTTGACCTTTCCTTTTAAGGAATGATGAGAAGACGTGGTATTATTGAGGTCAGGGAAATGTCCTCTTTCTTTACATCTTGTCACCTGTACTGTAAATGTATGTAAAGCATATGCTTCCTAGCTTAATATCATGTAACTTAGGTGTCTATGGATTGGCATTATACTGTTCTGGTGAAGCCAGGTGGACGCTTGCTGGTTTCTTCTATAATAAATTGGTACGGTCTTCTCCTTTCAGTATATCCTAATCTCATACATAAGTAGTTCCCTGTCAATAGACCATTTGATTTGACCCTCAAGAAGTTGTACTTACCGAAGGTTGGTACGGTCTTCTTCCCCCAGTAGACAATTTAATCCCACCCATAGCGGGCATAGGTCCGTCTGGTTCGCCTACGCTGAAGAAATGCACTGATGCTGTGTCTTCATCATCACCGACAGTGAAGACCAAGTTATTAGTAGACCAATAAGTAGTCCCCGGATTTGTGACTTGGCTACTGATAAATGGGACGTATAGAGACCTGTAAGAAGACGTTTTAAGTTACTTTTTTTATAAGATATAGCTGTCGCCTGCGACTCCATTCACGCGGAATTAAAAAAATAATAAGTAGCCTATGTGTTCTTTCACACTACATCTATGCCAAATTTCAACGAGATCCGATAAGCCGATCCGAAGATACCTTCAAACAAACATCCATCCGTTCACCTAAACATTCGCATCTTACTAATTTTAGAATTCCCGCAGAAATTTGGCTTAGATGTAGAACATATTCTGGAAGATCACATAGGCTCCTTATCATGTTTTTTTAAGTTTCGCGTGAACGGAGACGCGGGCAACAGCTAGTTTATAATATTAGTAAGAAGTAAGAAGGTGGGAAACGAGCAGTAGAACAGCAACACCAAAAACAGCAGATGTCGGCTTACAAGGAAGCGGTACGTTTTCTTTTTGAAGAAGACTTACTTTTAGTAGACCATCTGCTTTGTTATATTACTAGTACTCACGCAGCCTTATATCCATGGAAGAACTTATTCTTCTCCATGGTCTTCACAGTGGAGTACCAGAATCTCTTCAGTTGATCATTACTGCAATCCTTGATGTAATTGTGGATGAAGAGGAAATCACTGGCACTGATATCAGAGCTAAGAAGAGAATGTAACGCTGCTACTCTAAGCTGGATATGTTCTTTATCATTGGTGAGGATCGGTAGAGCTGTTTCTATAACCTAAAAGAAGATAAAATCAAAATCAAATCTTCTGATTAAGGGTTTCTAACTGCCTTGAAGCACTTGACTTGTCATCTATAGGTCCTGGGTTCGAATCCCGCCATGTACCAATGTGTTATTCGATTTTCGATTTACATATGTACAGGTATCCGACTTTCTTACGGTGAAAGAAAACATCGTGATGCTGCACATATCTGAGAAGAAATTCAAAGATATGTGTGAAGTCAATCCGCACTTGGCCAGCGTGGTTGACTGTGACCTAGTCACCCTTAACTTAGGGTAGGCTCCGAGCCTCTCAATGGAAGAGGTTGCTTTGAATATTACCATTTGACTAATGAGTCTGTGATGTCCACTTATATTTAATATTGCTGTCTCAACTTTAACAAGAGTACAACAAGGATGGCGATATATCTCAAAGTACCAACCATATATCCTTTAGCAGTTTCAGGACCACAAGCTAAAGAGGCCCAGAGTCTCTCGTGTCGGTTCCTGGTGATGTCACCATGAATTGTCCTGATGTAAGAGTCAGCCGTGTACCCTAGAGTACAGAGACCTTGCAGCCATACCATGCGGTCTAAGTATTGAGGACAATCTGGAACATTTTATGTCATAAGGTGTAAGACGAGCGAGTGGCCATCTGAAATCGCTGATATAGCGAAGTGACCGTTGCCCATAGACATACGCAATTGCATATACGTTGCCTACCTTTAATCGACGGAGGAGAGGATGCACAGAAAGAAAATTTTTTCCCTTTCCATGCATCCTCTCATCCGGGAAGTCCACTTCCACTTCTCAACCTTTCCTTATAAGAAAAAGGGTGGGAATGCAAAGAGGACTAAATAAGGCCTCCGGGACGCACACTCATCAGTCTGTACGCGGAAGAGCTTCCACTTGACGCCTGTCTTCTGTGTGGTTGTGGTATTTCAGCGGACGAGCCGGGACAATTCGTGCGAATATGTTAAACCGGATCTACCACTGTTAAAATATTTGTAGAGTCCGCTGGTGACGCTGGTGACCACACAGAAGATATGTGCCATGTCGTCCGCGTGAAATACTGTCTTTGGGTAGCATTTTAATTATTTAGGATACTTATATATCATTTTTATATTAAATAAGTTTCATGTTTTTATCTATAAAATGTCGATAGTTCCATACAAATTTTCGACCCACTTATCAACCCTTTACAACCCCTTTTTCACGTTAAAAAGTAGCCTATGTTCTTTTTCAGGCTCTAAACGATATGTTCATCAAACTTCATTTAAATCGGATCAGTATTTTTTGTTTGATTAATGGACAAACAGACAGGGTTACTTTCGCATTTATAATATAAAAAATAAAAAATTACCGCTATACATCCTGAAGAATTTTACAACGACATTATCAAAGTAATCATGTTTCACTAAAGACGCGTCCATTGTCTTTGACGCGAGAGTCGCAAATGATAGAATACCAGCATGTCGTATTGAAGGAGGAAAGTCAAGACCAAGTCTAGTGAATACTTCTAATTCTTCTAGAAGACTTTGACTGTAGTCCGCAACGTTGTATGGTAGCTTACGAAGTAAAGAAAGAAGAGAAGAATCTTCTATCTTCTCCTGAAATTGTAGAATTAAATCTTTTGTAAGCATTGTTTAATTCTTGTGTCTAAAGATAATAAAAGGGATGGCAGTTGTTATATAGTTTTTACATTGAGAAAGAAATTCGTTGTTTTAAAACGTATGATGTTTTACAGTGTCACAATAAGATAAGCGTTAGTGATGACTTTAAAATAGCTGTCGCCACCGACTCCGTCCGCGTGTAATTGAAAAATAAATTAGTAGCCTATGTGTTCTTCCAGGCTATGTTCTGCATCTATGCCAAATTTCATCAAGATCCATGCAGGCGTTCTGGAGATATCTTCTTGCAAACATCCATCCATCCAAATATTCGCATTTATAAGCTTAATAAGATATAATTGTAATTCCTTCTTACCTTTTGTTCTATCACTAAATATCTGATGAAACGAGCGCACGCATCACTTCTAGAGTGAGGCAGAACTTCCAAGAAGATGTTCCTCGCCGTCTCCAGATCATAGCTGGTACCAAGGACTAGTTCATCGAATAGACGTTTGAATGAATCGTATGTTAAACGAGACATTGTGCTGAAAAGTTGTAAATTAATATAAGATACGATAACATAAAAATTAATATTATTTTGGGGTACACTAGATATGCAATAACCCTTAATTTTTTATTAGCTGTCGCCCACGACTGCGTCTAACCTAATTCTTAGTCTATGTGTTCTTCCAGACTATGTTCTATATGTATGACAAATTTCATCAAGTTCCATGCAGCCGTTCTGGAGATACCATCAAACAAACATCCATCTTAACTTTTTGGCTCCTTAATCTATAATATTTAAGTTAATACTTAGTTATAACTACATAATGATTTGGTAAGGTCATTGTTGGCGGTTCAGGGGTAAAGCATTTGACTTGTAATCTGCAGCTCCTGGGTTCGAATCCCGCCATACCAATGTGTTACATATGTACATTTATCTTATATTGTTAGTGTGAAGGAAAACATGTTGATGCTGCACATATCTGTGAAAGTCAAAGATATGTGAAGTGACGCACTGGACCAGCATTCGCTATCACATAGTCACATCACTTAGGGTAGGTTAGACTCTCAGTGGGGATGTACAGTGAGCTGATTGAATGTTTACTAACTTTAGTAGATCCACAAAATCCATCGTATGAATCAAGCCTTCGTTCTTCACTATATTGTCAGCGTCGATACCTTTCTTAGCTATCTTCAAAAGTATCTGTAAAAAAAAATAATCTTAAAATGAGAATAATGAAAAATGCGACATTAAGCGAGAATCGGTTAACAAAGCAAAAATAAAATTAAAGTCGTGGTTGCTGAAACTAACGTACAAGGACACAGAAGACATTCTTAAAATAATACGTTAAGTTTATCACTAATGTTTAGCACGTGTAACTTTGATTTAGCTTCTTTTCTAAAACAAATGGCACTTGATTATGTGTTTTACTTACTTTGTTGCCGTCTAACGAACCCCTGATAAATCTTAAGAGCAGGATCCTCGCGACACAGGCTGCGCCTAGTGCGAGGATACTGGTAAACACTTGTAAAACCCACCGTTTTTGTATCCATTAAATTGCTTAGCTTAACTTTTTAATGTAAACTTATATTCTTGGATTTTAATAAATTATTTTTTCATTTTTCATATATAAAATTATCGTGTCACAATTTTCGTTCCCATACTCTTACGAAACGGCTTGACCGATTCTCATGAAATTTTGTGAGCATATTGAGTAGGTCTGAGAATCGGTCAACATCTAGTTACTTGTATGTATTTAGTACTTCGTTTGTAAGCAAAAATTATGTTAAATTTAACAATAGGAAATTAATCACAGACCAAACGCAGAGCCCAAGATCGAGCGAACTGGCGGCGTACTGTGTACGCCCTCTGCTCCTCTACGGGGACATAGGACTTTAAATCAAGTCATGTAAGTCAAATAAATCACAAGTAAATGAAAACATGTAGTACCATATGATTCTACGAGACGCCTACGAGTGTGCGTTCATTTTTTTTAAACACTAAGGATTGCCCGTGACTTCGACATGGAAAAATTAGCCTATAATATGCCCGAACTCATCAGCTATCTTTAAGTAAAAGTCCCAACAAAATCGGTGCAGTCGTTTCGGAGATAATCCGGAAGAAACGCGGCTTACAGACAGACATATAATAATTTAAAAAATTGATTCCTCGATATATGTAGTGTTATGATTTTTTAATCGACATTAGCTGCCGCCCGCGACTCCGTCCGCGTGAGATGAAAAAAAACTTAATTAGTTCCCGGTAATTATTCGAAAATTTCTCATCTTTTAAACCTTCCCTATACCTCCACGAACATTTCAAGAACAAGATAAGATAAATCCGTTCAGCCGTTCTCGAGTTTTAGCGAGACTAACGAACAGGAATTGATTTTTATATATATAGATTACGTACAGACACTCCAATTTTAGTATTTCTATTACTTTAAAGTTACTTACTTCATATGTATTATTCTTCAGGTCTTCTTGTGTTACAGTTTTGATGAAGTTCGAAGGATTCCTGTAATCTCCAGCGTCGTACTGAACATCTCTCCTGATCAGTTCCAACTTCTCCATACTTTCAACAGGAACATCTGTGTCGTAGTAAAGGGATAATCTAGAAACAAGGAAAATCTTATTTAATATTGCTGACCTATAATAATCAAAGTTCTATAAGTCCAGGAATGCAAGGGTGAGGAATTGGCGCCAGATCTTAAGAACCCTGGGGGCTCAGGATTAGATGAGATAGGTCTTACGGTTTGGGCTAGATTGACTCATACCTCGAAGCCTAAACACAAATTGTACAGTCAGCTATATTAATATGTATACAAAGTTTCATTGTATTTCCTTTTGTCTTTATGGATCGGATTATGAGTACATATTCTTGGCGTATGCGTAAGTTTTTAACCAAAGTGGTATACAAATTTCTAAAGTTTTATATACATATTATGAAAGAAAGAAAGAAATTTATTTATTCATTTTTTAGACATCATTAATTAGAATGCTTTGGCGTGAATGACGCGCTTACGTTACAAAGTCAAGTGTCAGAATGATTAGTGAGGGGACACGTTGACATTTTAGTAAGGCTAGTGTTGCGCCAGTACACCGGTACAGTGTCGTGTTTTCTTCCTAATAATTTAGAAGAAAAGATGTTCATTTAACATGTGCTGCAGTAGACCATAGCGCAGATTTTAAATGAACTAAAAAAAACAATAAAGAACATAAAAAGAAAAACTTAAAATAAACATTTAGTCACGGGCGAGATATAAACAAAAAATATTAATGCAGCTGACTGTACAACACATATCGTCCCTTTCTATCTCAAGAAGTGAGATGAGATAACAATTACAACGTTACAGCAATGGAAACAAAGATATATACTTACTCGGAAGCGACATATAGAATATGATCGTGTATCTTGTATTGAAACATCCCTGTCATGTCCATATTGTTTAGACCTCTGTTCTCATCTAGTATATAAACACGTTCTGACGTCGACACCATCTCTGGCTGTTATAAAAAAACAAATAAAATTGATCAGAACTTTAAACCGTCATATAAGACGCTACAGCTGTAGACGAACCTGGGCTTCACACATATCTTTCATTCACAGATATGTGCAGCATCACCATGTTTTACTTTACACTAAGAACATAGGATAAATGAACATATTTACACGACGTGATTCGAACTCATGAGCTGCAGATAACAAGCCAAGTGCTTAACCCCTGAGCCGCCAACAATGACCTTACCAAATCATTATGTAGTTATAACTAGTTATTAGCGCGCTCGACGTCTCTAGCCATGTTACCTTTGGCTTACGTATGTATATCTACGTCCATCTGAATTATCCAACCGGCGTTAAAAGAACAACTCTATATTCTTAAATAACCAATAATTCTATAAATTGATAGGGGATTGTTTGGCAATAACAGCTTTTGTTCCTTAAACTCGCCTGTTGATGTTACATGACAGTTAATTCTATCTATAAGTTCCAAACAAACACTATACAAACCACTACCATAAACGCCAAAATGACAATCAAATAGGCACAAAACACTACGTCTTATAGCCAGTCCACATCTAGAGTTCTGTGGCTATTACCAAATTTTTTTTTGGTTGCTATAGTTTTCACCTTAAATATCGTTTGCGTTCAGCCAGTTAGCAAGTTTAATATAAAAAAAAATTATGCTCCAATTGAGTTAATAAAAAAGTTAACCAAAATTAATCAATAAATTACTAATTTAATTAATTAATTAATCAATTGATTAATACTTTAATTATTTAACTTATATAAAACTCACAACATTCCGTTCCTCATAATCCTGAGTCCAGGGCACGGAACTCCAGCTATGCTCAGTCCTCGCCGAGGAGACCTTCACGCTGCAGTATTTCTTTATGCTGTCCCCTACCACAGTGTACACCATCAAACAGCTTTCGTATAAGCAGGGCTGGTAAAGAAAATTACGTTTAACAGTGGTAGAGTCCACGAATGTCTCGCCTAAGAAAAGACATCCGACAACTGACAATTATATCCATTTCATCCCTTTTTTTTCAGAGGGGAATGCTTTATGCATACTCCGCGCCCCGGGGGGGACGCGGTTGTTATGTGGGATTCTCCTCCATAGCGGAGGCATACCCACTAAACCCCTCTGTTCCTCCAACGCATCGGGACGGGACCACGGGCACGCTTTCGCTCTCGTCCGCGGCCCCGTCTGCATCCATTTCATCCCTCATTGTCGTGTATTCCGAGGAAATAGTCAAGATCAATAGAAGGGTCGATTAGTGGAAGAGACATCAAAAAGAGAAATATGATTTTTTCTGCCCCTCTCCTTTTTTCCATAAAAGCTGTCGCACGCGACTTCGTCCGCGCGGGATTTAAAAAAACTTAATTAGTAGTCCATGTGTTCTTCCAGACTATGTTCTATACCTTTGTCCAATTTCATTGCTATCCAGCCGTTCTGGACCTTCAAACAAACATCCATTCACCCAAATATTCGCATTTATAATATTAGTAAGATTAGCTCCGTTCTACTTCATTTCAGAAATCTTTTTGCAGATCTCTTTAGGCTTATAAATTAAATAGCCCGGATTAAAAAGCGGGAAAGGTCCGATGGAACTTAGTAATATAGAAATAACTTTACCAACGATATAAGTGTATGGTTGCCAGGTCGCCAAATCAACCTGGACAAACCAGCCAGTCTGGCCGGACATTTATGTAGAAAGGCCGGACACCCTACATGCGACTGTCAGTCAACACTCATGTCTGCACTCGGCCACTCTCATTTACGAAATATAAAAAGCCGGGCAACACAGACACTGTTTATTTTGGCCGGACACGCAATCGAAAGCCTACATATGTCCGCCTTTACGACTGGCAACGCTACATAATTGTGTATTTCACCTAATTAATTTTAATTAGTCGATTAATTAGTAAATTAGTAACTTACCTCATAATTTCCATATGTGCCGGATTCCTTTTTCATTTGGAAGTTAATGGCAAGAGCTCTCTTCATATTGGTCGCCCACACCGGCTCCGAGCCCACATAGATGGCGCTGATCAAGCCATTTGTCTGTAAATACGAGTATTATGAAAGTAAACGGTCACTAGATGTCGCTGTCCTTAAAAAATATTTATTACTAGCTATCGCCCGCGAATCTATTCGCGTGGAAGGAAAAAAAACTTAATTAATAGCCTATGTGTTCATCCAAACTATGTTCTACATCTATGACAAATTTCAACAAGATCCATGCAGCCGTTCTGGAGATAATTTCAAATAAACATCGATCAAAACATTCGCATTTATAATATTAGTAATATAATGCGCCAATAGATGTCATTGAATTTTTCGTTTAACCATAGTAAAGAAACAAAGTCAAAATATTAAAAATTAATTACTAATTATTTATTACATAAATTTTATCGTATGTTGTTTGTGTGAAGGAAAACATGTTGATGCTGCACATATCTGTGAATGTAAAAGATATGTGTGAAGTGATGCACTGGACCAGCATTCACTATCACCTAGTTAACTTAGGGTAACGAGACCCTCAGTGGACGAAAGAACTGACAAGCTCACCTGATAATCTGCTTCCCATGTCTTCTTTAGAAAACTGGCTGCTTCCTCTGACTGGTAGGAAGTCTGTAAAGATATAATTTACTATCACCCGCGACTCCGTCCGTGTAGTATTTAAGAGAAACCATAATTAGTAGCCTATGTGTTCCTCCAGATTATGTTCTACATATATGACAAATTTCAGCGAGATCTATACAGCCGTTGTGGAGATATCTTCAAACAAACATCCCTCCATTCATCTATATAAACATTCGCATTTATAATATTAGTAATATGTATTCTGAACTTTGATAACACATTGGTTTTTGTTTGAGAATCGGACTCAGACCTGTAGATTACAATCCTAAGCTTAACCAATGCACCACCAGCTCCACTTACCTTCAGATCTTCCAATTTGAACCTTGCCTTCGTATAATTATCATAAACGGTGACCAGCAATCTACCTTCCAATGTCCAGAAGGAATTCCCTTCTCTGGGCGCGAGGATACCTGATGATGAGTTGGTCTTCAAAGTGAAGCAGTACTGGCGATTCAACTGCGGGAATAAAGCTTGAAGACCACCAGCTGATGCGGCAGTTAGCCCTGCAATGAGGAAATCGAAGATCAATTAATAAAGGTACGCATCCATTTTGATTTTTAGATTTTAGTTTGCGTTATATGATTTTACATAGGGCTGCGTCCATCCGCGCCGCCCTTACTAACTTAAGGTAGGCTCTGAGACCCTCAGACATTTATTTTATTAACGAGCGATCGGCCACCTGAAATCGCTGAAATAACGAAGTGACCGTTGCCCATAGACATACGCAATTGTATATGCGTTGCCTACCTTTAATCGACGGAGGAGAGGATGCACAGAAAGAAAACATTTTCCCTTCCCATGCATCTCAGAAAGTCCACTTCCACTTCCCATCCTTTCCTTATAATAAAAAGGGTGGGAAGGGAAAAAGGATTAAATTAGTCCTCCGGTACGCACACTTATGTACGCGGAATAGCTTCCACTTGAGGCGTGTCTTCTGTGTGGTCGTGGTATTTCACCGCTCGAGCCGGGACAATTCCTGCGATGATGTTAAAGCGGGCTCCACCACTGTTAAAAGTGAGAAGATTTTTTTGTTAATATTAACGATATTAAAAATTCTTACAACTTACCAAGAGCCAATATTAAATATCGGAAGATCATGACGATATCTGAAACATAAAATAATAATTAAATGATAAAAATACCCATATACAAAAACTTACATACATGCAAACCACCCTTGTGTTTTTTTATATTATTTATAAGATGGCAAACGAGCGAGCGGCCTCCTGAAATCGCTGAAATAGCGAAGTGACCTTTGCCCATAGACATACGCAATTGCATATGCATTGCTTACCTTTAATCGACGGAGGAGAGGATGCACAGAGAGAAAATATTTTCCCTTTCCATGCATCCTCTCATCGGGAAAGTCCACTTTCACTTCTCATCGTTTCCTTATAAGAAAAACGATGGGGAGAGAAAGAGGACTAAATAAGGCCTCCGGGACGCACACTCATCAGACGAAATGCGGAATAGCTTCCACTTGACGCCTGTCTTCTGTGTGGTCGTGGTATTTCACTGAGCGAGCCGGGACAATTCGTGCGAAGATGTTAAAGCGGGCTCTACCACTGTTGTGTCAATCTAGTAAACATTTTTATATACCTAAAATCTTCCAATTAAAAAAGTGAGTTCACGTATTAAAAATAAATCATCTAAAAGAAAACACAATCGTCTCGTATCATTCAAATATTTAAAAACAATTTATTAAGATAGTGATATAAGGTGTAACATATACGAACTGCACGAAGCAATCTACGTCAGCTATGGTCCGTGTATGGCAAACGAAAACCCTTCAATTTTTATAAATACATAAACTTTGGAGTTACACAAGACGAGAATGGTAATGAATTTGACAAAGTATAAGATATCATCAGCTCACTATACGTCCCCACTGAGGGGCTCGGAGCCTGTCCTAAGTTATGTGACTAGGTCATAGTCAATGCTGACCAAGTGCGGGTTGACTTCACACATATTTTTGAATTTCTTCTCAGATATGTGCAGCATCACGATGTTTTCCTTCACCGTAAGAACGTCGGATAAATGTACATATGTAAATCGGACATCGAAAAACATATTGGTACATGGCGGGATTCGAACCCAGGACCTGCAGATTGCAAGTCAAGTGCTTGACACCTGAGCCACCGACGCTCGATATAAAGGGATAGTATCTCTTAAAAAAACCTAATTAGTAGCGTATGTGTTCTTCCATACTATGTTCTACATCTATGACAAATTTCATCGAGATCTATGTCGCCGTTGTGGAAATAACTTCTAACAAACATCCATCCATACATCTAAACTTATACATTTATATTACACTAACTGTCGCCCGCGACTCTGTCCGCGCATAATAAAAAACAAACTTAATAAATAGCCTATCCGTTCTTCCAGATTATGTTCTACATCTATGACAAATTTCATCGAGATCCATGCAGCCGTTCTGGAGATACCTTCAAACAAAAATCCATCTAAACATTCGCATTTAATATCAGTAAGATTGGAAGGCCACCGAGCTCTTAGGTCTTCTGGACGATGGAGTGACTGGGCTCAAGGGACGCGGAAAGCCGAACCTCGGCTTGATCGTTCAATATTTTTGTTCTACGTACTAAGGAAGGTTACAGGATGTTTTTTTAATGAATTATTTATAATATTTACTTACCATTTGTATGTTAGGTTGTAAACTATCTCTTACTGCGACCATTCACTGTGTTATCTCATCACAAATGAAATTAACTATTCGATGTTTTGTTTGTTGGGACAGTAGTGAAGTGTTGTAACTCTAAAAAAAACCGAAAAAAAAAATTGTTGCAAAAAAATATATATTTCAAATTAAAGTAAGATGCTTAAAAATATGTTAATAAACAAAGAATCAAATCATATTACCTTACTAATATTATAAAAGCGAAAGTTTAAATTTATCTTTATATAAAAAATTTCACAGATGTAGAACATAGTCAAGGAGAACCCATAGGCTACATCAAGTTTTATTTTGATTTCCGGACGGAGTCACGGGCGACAGCTAGTTACTTAAGATTATTAATATGTGAATTAAATCAATTGATGTTCAAAAGAAGTGAATATATACATAAACCTATTACTGAATTACTTAACTCTATATTAATTATTAAGTGACTAATTAAATTATACGAAAACTAAACCAAATCAAATAATATAAAAAATCGACCCCAAATCGCTGCGGTCGGTAGGGTACCCAAGAGGTTGGCGACATTTCCCCGTTGGATGGCCAGGCTCAACCTTTGCCCGAAATGCGCGCCAGCCCTTGGATCCCCTGAGGTGTCGATGAGGCGTGCGGAATCTCCTTAAACAGGCGACGGGCTTCCGCACCCCAAGGCCCCAAGGTCTCCACAAGAAGTGAATAGAAAATTTATGATTTTTTTTTCAAACTAAGAAAACATTAATTGCGTATTGATTAAGATATAATAACCTACCAGAAGAGAATTTAAACACTCGAATAACACTTTTATAAGCAAAAAAGACGGTACTTCCAAACTTTGTACTTGTTTTGCTATACAAAAATATTTTTTTTTCATATATTAAGCAAAAAAAAAAATTTTAATATTTTTCAAGTTACAACACTTTTCATCTCATTCGCCTTATCAACTTGCGTTGATATCATTTGCCTTTTGACCTCTTGAATTAAAGATTCATTAACAACTGACCAGTTAAAATGAGCTCTGACAAACGAACAACATCCCCTCTATCTCTATATTATGTACCAACAAAGGGGGTGAGCAGTTCAACGTAAATTGGACATCTTAATATGACTTCGCTTAGTTTGCATGCGAATGCCATTTTCGTGGAATCGTAAAGAAAAATTTGCAACATAACAAAAAACAATGTTTATTGCACTCAGAGTCTTTAAATGGTTAATTAAAGAGTTAGTAGGTTTGTAAATATAACTACGGGTCTAAATTAGTAACCAATTGATGTGAGATTTTAGTAATAACGTGTAATTAGATTAAAATCGTTTGAACAAATAAAAATGAATTACCTTTTAACAAATAGTTACGTCGTTAGTGAAATAGTAATATTTCTTTGCAAATATATATTAGATTTAATTGTTCTATTAATTTTAACATTTAAATATTCATATTAACAAACAGAACACTTATTAGATTGTCCGCCATTTTGAATAGCAATGGATCAAGAAAGTTGACACAATATTTCGAAATACCCATTAATTTTCTATTATTTTTCAACATATTATCACAGATTATGTTAAAAATGATATAAAAATAAAATATCTTTAAAATTACATATTTAATTTTCTTACAAACATTGAAACGATGATAGAAAAAGTTATTTAAAAATTAGTAGTATTTAGCATTTGAGTTGGCACGTGGATAACATTAGTTCTCTTTAACGCTATGTGCCAACTTACTACAATACATTTCGTATATCTTGACGGCTCTATACGCAAATTGTTGCTCAGTAAACAATTTTTTCAGTTTCAGAATAGTTTTTCGAACACAGTCAAGTTGTCTTTAGTGTTAGGGTATAGGACATACTGTTGAGGAATTAAGACCAGCTCCTCAAAAACTGGCTACCTGTGTAGATCAGGACCACCCCAAACCAACCCGCACTGGGCCAGCATGGTTGACTATGACCTAGTCACATAACTTAGGGTAGCCTCCGAGCCCTTCGGTGGGGACATATAGTGAGCTGATGATGATGAAACAATTTTAGTTATAGCAGGCCGTAGTATACTGAGTGGGGAGGGCATAGTGCAGCGCGCATGACCTACAGCAGCTAAGATATTTGAAATTAGTTATATCTAATTTAGCTATCACTAAGGCCCTGATATTTTTATATTCGTATTATTTTTCGTGATATAATTGAACCCGCATAATAAATATTATGTTTTTCAATATATTAGCTGTTGCACGCGACACTGCTTATGTTTTTATTATATTTTTCCTGTGCAATTGAATGTGAATGGCTACAAAGGTAGACCAAAGAAAGCATGGCGTTCATAAATAACGTGAGGTCTTTTTTAATTTTCTGCAACTCCCTCTCCCCCTGGTGAGATGTCGTGAGATTTTATTCAACCTCTTCCCCATCCCCCAATCTCACGTGAGATTTTTCAAAATGTCAGTTTCTTACGTAAACGCGTTGGATTGTTATTGATAAAAGCAAAAAAATGCTTCGTGCTTTTTTTTTCAATCAGAAAAAAAATTGCGTGATATTTGCCCAGATCTCCTCTCTCCAACGTAAGATTAGATGAGATTTGACTCGACCTCCCCCCTTAAACACCTCAAGTAATTTAAAGACCTATTGTGTGAAAGAGGATATGCGTAAGAAGTGGATTCAGATATACTAGCTGAAAGAGATGTATGGAGTACATATGCCGACCCTCTATAGCAGTGGTTCCCAAACTTATTTTGTCTACTGCCCACTTTGAGAATAAATATTATTTTTAGCGCCACCATATTTTCACATATTTAAAAACCACTATAACTTCAAATTAAATTAAATTAATTATTGTGACCTATATATGTATATTAACGGAGAATTGTAAAGGAAACTTTTACTATAACCCGCAACTTGAGACCTGCAGCGCCCACAAGGGGGCGTTATCGCACACTTTGGGAAAGACTGGTCTATAGAGATAAGTTTGTATGATGATGGGAAATCTGGATTTAAATATAATACAAACAAACATACATTTTAATAAAGACTATGAATAATCTATGTTGCAATATTCTTGTGATAGAATATAAATACGATTTTTTTTTAAATATTTAACATATGTTTTATTTTCTAACAAAAAATGTTTAGTTATAAAACTTTGCTGCTAATATTCCTGTTATTTGGGAGTCGTAAGTATTTTAATGCGAATTTCGAACAACGCCATCTTTTGTGCAAATATGAAAACGTAGTTGATAACCATTTATTTTCGTCTTATCTCAAAGTATTTCTCTTCCTAATTGTATAAAACTAACTACATCATATTTAAATTATTTTATCCTTAGTCAGGACTTTAATACCAGTATGCGAATATTTTACCTTTCAGATGTGTTCGGAGTTTCGCGTAATAAACGGTAAATATTGCATTCCGTCGCCGTTATAGTAGAACTGGAGCGACTGACAAGGCCGCCGGGCACAAGGGCGCGCCGCAGTCTTCAGAGTAGGATATACAACCCCTGTTCCCCTCCCCCCAAGAAACAATATCATTGGAAGATTTCCCCTCGATGCGAAAAAAGGGGTGCCTCAAAAATCTCGCCCAGGACGCCGGAAATACCAAAATCGGCCCAGGGCGAAACATTGACCTAAAAACTGATTCTCTTCGTTTGATTACAATTTATTTTATTTCACAGTTGCATAGTGGTACAAAAACAATCTGGTACCCATGGCGACAGTTCCGAGGGTGGAGATGATGATGACAGGTCTCCGCAGCCTCGAGACCCTAGGCCTGATAGGAGACGGACTATAGACCCTTTGGAGAATGTAAGAAATGATGTAGAGGTAAGATTTTATTTAGTATACTTCGTTGTCATCCAGTCTCCCCTAAACAACATCAGCATCAGCTCACATAGACGTACGCATTTTAAGAATGGAAAAATTAGAAATGCCTTTAGAATGCTCAAGCCAGCAATTTATGTTACTTTCTAAAACATGTTACAGTATGTTTACGTAAGTAGTGACTTCCTACGAAAACAGTTTTATTTAGAAGTAATATAACTGTTGTCCGCGACTCCGTCCACACGGAATTAGGAAGACATAATTAGCAGTCTGTGATCTTCGAGACTATGTTCTATATGTATGCCAAATTTCATCGAGATCTGTTCACCCGTTCTGGAGATACCTTCAAAGGAATGTATGGATGTTTGCATGAATTTCAAACAAACATCCAGACATTCGTGTCTATAATATGAGTGAGATTTAATGGGGGGACGGCGCGTACGCAGTCCCCACTACCAAAAATTACGCGTCCGAGTTATCCGCATTAGGGATAATCGCAGGGGTCAACCCAACCGCAGTGCAATGGAGGGGCCTCGCCCTGGGGGAACCGCCTTCGTGATCACGGTAACCCCTACGCCAGGTAAGTATGAATTCACAGTCGCGGCACGCGAACCTCATCCCCTGCGAAAGATTTTCAACATCGCGATTTGAATTTTACAAAATTTGTAAAGCGACATCTATTAATGAAAAGTGTCATTATAGCACCAAAAATATTTTCCATCCGCCAATAGATGGCGCTAGTTAACTTATTTTCATTTTAATACCCAATTTACTTTACGTTTTTTTTTAACAAAAAGTTATACTAAATAAGATTTTTTTGTAAAGAATTAAAAACATTTGTTACAGGACTTGACGCCGAATCTATTGAAATATCAAATTCTACCAACTAAAAGGTACTCGGGCGATTTGAGAAGATTCAAAAATAGATTCTTCAGAACAAATTAATATATTCTTCTCTGAATTTTTAATTATTATTATTAATCTGTGCAATTATGTTTATTGTTATATCGATGCATCCTTAATTGGAGTAAAAATGAATATCTAAAACTTTGTTTTAACTTTCCACTCATAGATGGCGCTACTTGGGACACAATAAAAATCAATTACTTTTCATAATAACGTTATTTTATTTAATAAATTATCGTTTAAACACACCCTAACATCAACACACAAACGTGAAAATAGAAAAAACATAACAAATACACAAACATTTTCAAGAATTTAGAAAAAAAATAATAACATTGATACGATACAATATTATAAAATATTTTTTAAGGTGAAAA